TGGCGACTGGTGCAATTTCTTCTCTTGAGGACAATTGTTACCAGGCCTTTATTCAACGAAAGAAAGAATAAGGGTTGTTCCAAATGGAGATATCGCACGAAAAACGCATACGCCATGCTTGCATGAAGTACGCAGTCCCCCCCCCTATCTACCGCCGGGATATGGACTGTAGGCGCGTTTTGAAGAAATTTTTATGGCTGTTGATTTTTCCTGCGTTAGAGCGCCATATAATCGGTAGAAGTGATATCGAAGCTTCACTTTTCATTAGTGTAGATCCAGGTGTCAGCGTATTTCGGATTTTTTTCCTCCTGGAATGATATGCCCTTTATACAGCTATACAAACTAAAGCTTCTGGTTGCTTGATTTCCGTCTCTATCGAAATATTAAACATTTGGGCGGCTGATAGATGTTTCACACTGGACCGCACATTTTCAAGTGAAAAACCAGTGCGCTTTGCTTGCGAAAATGATCAATGGGTTAGCATTCACATAATGACCCTAAATCATTTCTTTTCAAAAGCTAGCCGCTTTTGCTCCAAGTGGCCTGTGAATCACAAAGGCTGGTCTCAAGCACTGATCTTGGTGAACGCAGACCTTCCTTCTTCCTGGATTGTGCCAATTTTGCGCGAAGTCTTGATTTGCGTCAGATCTTATGCGTTTCATAAGCAAATTCGGAGTGAGATAAATAAAGTAAGTTATAAGTAAGGGTTGGAGACCTCTGGCGGGCTGCATAGTGCTTTTTATATTTTTCGCAGGGATCATTAGCGTCTAATAGTTAACAACGGACCAGTCGCCTAGGGCGCGTTCGTACTTCGCGATCCGATCGCTTGGGTCGTGCCTTCAGTAGTGTTTGCTCGCTCCAAACGCGAGTGATTCGATCGCGCGATCCAAGCGGTCAGATCGCGAAGTTCGGAAGCGCTCGTAGGAAGAGGCGGAACATTCGAGGTTACGATCGTGCTTGGCCACTCAATCCATTGCGAGTGGGACTGCCCGCGCTCCACCGTGATTTGTGATAAGATTTATTTCGAACTTTGCAGCTGTCGAAGGATTAGGTGGGCGCGGTGAGTCGCAGTCGCGCGACTAGACTCGAGTCGAAGTGATGAACGCGGCCTGAAGAACTTCCTCTGCTAAGCTCAAAATGCTGTGACATGGAATCATCTTTCTGGCACTAATCATTAGACATTGGTTCATCCTCTTCGAAGCTTCCTGCTCTTCCTTCAGGCTTTAGACAGGAATCCTCATCTTCATTACAGTAATCCTGGTTTTGCACAGGGGATTCTTCAAATCCTTCTCATTAGCCCACTTGCTTCCATTTCGTTGCTGTCGCGATCTCGAATACTGTTAGCTGCGTGATGACAAGCTTGTTGAGCTTTTCAGAAAATTCCTGAGCTCTTTTCTCTGAATATCATTTGTGCATATACGGGATGCTGAATTGAAATGGATGACATGCTGGACCTTGTCGATTGCACGAATTCTACAAAATAGACGGCATTTGATTCAGCTAGTGGTACTTAATGAGTGCAACATCACTTGCCGGTCTCATTCTGTTTATAAGACCCGCTTTAATGGTGAGATCCAAAGCTTTTGCACATTTCCGATTTGAAGAAAAAAAACTGCAAGAGAGGCAGACTTGAGAAGATCTATTCCCTTATTTCAATTTTGGAATACTGACGATTCTCATTTTTAGGCTTTTCAATATTCAATGAAGTTCTCGGAAGATATATTACACTTTTTCAGCCAATCCGCTTTGCGGTACGTTCGTTGGGCTGGACTGAAATTGCTGAGGAAGATTTGACAGCTGAACGAAGTTCACGAGCCGTGAACAGGTACGTTGCAAGAATATCCGCATTTGGATTAGGGCCCTTCGTATGTTGGGAATCCTCGAGGGGGTCGGCTTTGTCTGTCGAACTTTTTTTTTTGGCTAGTTGATTTTTCTTTTTTTCTCGCTCACTCTTTAATTCATTGGGTGAATTGCCATGGGGAGAGTCGTATTTGCTTGTCGTAGTTGTTTGGTGGCGACCTCTCCGGTGGGAAGTGGGGAAAAAGGGAAAAGATGGTAAATAGGGTGAGGAATGGGATGTTACCAGAGAAGAGAATCAAGGTGGTCGCGATTCTTGAAAATTTTCCCCGGCGGAAGTGCCATTATTGGGATGCTATATTCTTGCCTTTGTTTGTTCCGACCCGCCAATTCCACAGTTTGCTCTTGAATCGCTAAGAGTGCGTTCATACTTTGCATCTGCGTTTTTGAGTGAACGCCAGTGTGCTCAAAGCCTTAGATCGATACCCTCACTCTTCCTAGTCGCTCAAAGCGCTGCCGTACGTCCAAAACGGTGATGCAAAGCATGAACGCTCTCTCATTATGAACGCAGCTTAATCACGTAGTTTTATGATTTCGAACTGGCTTATATAAGAGCTTACGTAAGAGGGGTAAAGTGAGGGGAGGGCAATTGGACATATCATTTCAGCTTAATACAGACTATCTCTCTGTTTCAGGGCAATCGTTGACTTGTCTACAGGACGTAATGATGTCATGGATAATGTGAGCAAATGGGGCGATGTAAGTGCTTCTTTTATTGAATATTTTCTTCATAGTTATACCTGCTCACTTTTCTTTTTCTGCACATTTTGGCGAATTTAAGAAAAACTGTA